GACATCAGACAACCATCAAAGCTGAAGCCAAAGAGGAATGGTGGAACTTCAGGCAGAGGACAAAGCTGTTTGGGAAAGAAGGCAGAGGGAAAGTTTCCCTTCATCTCCAATCCCAGCAGGTCAGCCACTCCATCTGCAGTGGTGGCAAACAAACCTCGGGATAGGGGTCTGAGGACATTTCCTAGGCACTGTATCTTTTATTTATTTATTTATTTTTTGAGAGAGAGAGAGAATTTTTTGATATTTATTTTTTTAGTTTTCGGTGGACACAACATCTTTGTTTGTATGTGGTGCTGAGGATCGAACCGGGGCCGCACGCATGCCAGGCAAGCGCGCTACCGCTTGAGCCACATCCCCAGCCCGGCACTGTATCTTTAAAAGTGTTGGGCCCAGAGGCTGGGGTTGTGGCTCAGTGGTAGAGCCGTTGCCTAGCACGGATCAGGCACTGGGTTTGATCCTCAGTACCACATAAAAATCAATAAATGAAATAAAGGTATTGCATCCATTTACAACTCAAAAACAAAAACTAAACAAACAGATACGAAAAACTTTTTTAAAAAAGAGCCTTGAGCCAGAGGAAGCTGTGTGTCTGGTTTGGAGTGTTCTGGGGCAGAGGGCACAATTTCTTCTCAGACTAATTTCTCAGCATTGCAGTTTCCATGACATCTCCCCCTGAGAGCTAATGGCCCCTGAAGAAAATCTGCCAGAGAATATTTTGAGCCATAGCAGGCTTACAAATCTGACAAAAGAATTTTTTTTTCAAAATAAAGATACATAAGATTTCGCTTACTATAGGCACCATTACTAAGTATTCAGCCTGCATTACTCACCCCCATGGCAGCCCTGTGAGGGAGAACAGTAGCCCCATTTTATAGGGGAGGAACTGAGGCTAAAAGAGGCTGGTGGCTTTCCAGGGATGGCTGTGAGTGGCAGAGCCGGGTCTCTAGCCCAGGCATCATTCCTTGTACCCTGGGACGTGGCCCAAAGTTATGCTGCCGTAAGGTGCCCCTGACCTTGGTGCTTCATCTCATTAGGGAAACTGCTGACCTTTTCAGTCCAAAGCAGTGCCCTCTGTCCTTCTTCACACCAGCAGGAGAGTGGACCCCCTCAATTCATTATTTAATTTTGGAAAAGTTGTTGCTACCAAGAACCAACTAATAGAAAATTGTTCCTAAATTGATATGTTCATCTTCCATCTTCTTTTTCTGTGACTTCCTGTATCTTGTATTTAAATAATTCAACATACACGTTACAAATACACATGTGTATATGTCAAGAAACATAAATGTCTGCATGCACTCCCAATTCAGAACCTTTTGACTAATGAATACATAAGTGATAAATAGCTTTGGGAATTAAAAAATAAACACAGGAAGAATTTCCCTCCAAGCTCAACAAACACAATAATCTCCACAAATACAACCACTAGTACTTAAATAAATAAAAGATGAGAAACAAAAGAGAAGAATAAACACAGGGCGCGTGACTTAAGTGAATAGACATTTGCTGTTGCTGGAAGCTGAGCTATGGGACTGAACCAGGTATTGATGCACAGAACAATTGTAATGGTAATTTGCTCCCCGGACACTGAGCAATGGAACACAGAGAACATTGCCACCACCAGACATTTTCCCTTGGTGGATACTGGTCATTGGTGGAAGCCTACATGGATTCGATAAACAGCAGCTATCAATGGACATTTGCTCCCTCGTGAGCATTAGCCAACAAGGAGCACTGGACATGGATGGGCAAGGCCACGTAGGCCTGTGAAGGCCTCTATTGTCATAGAATTGCCCTTGATAGGCTTTAGGTTGAGTGGACTGTTAACTCTGTAGTTGTATCAAGTGAGCGGTGGGTAGGCCTCTACCTCCTAATTCCTGGCAGTCGGGCCCAGAAAAATATCCCGAGAATGGGTTTGATGGAGTTGGGAGCTGGTGTCTGCCTCTCTGCCTGTCCTTTCCCTCTGAAAGTCCTTTGACTGAGGTGTGAGAAAACCAGTAGGGTGTGTGTGTGTGTGTGTGTGTGTGTGTGAGAGAGAGAGAGAGAGAGAGAGAGAGAGATTGAGAAATGGAGGGAGGGAGGGAGAACACTGACAGGAATTCCTGCATTTGGAAGATTCTTATTCACTTTGTTCTGGGAACTAGAGGGATTGTCATCCTGACCAACACTATCTAGGCATTTGCCTTTTTCTTTTCTGTAAGCACAATGATCAAAGGCTCAGCAGGGTACTTTCTTTCACAGTGGGACCTTAGGACTGTGTTTGCTTTGCTCTTGCCAAATTGACATTCTTAATTTTTGAACAAGGAATCCCACATAGTCATTTTACATAGGGTCCCTCAAATTACTTTTCCAGTTCTGAAGACTAGAATCCCAGCCACGCGTCATGGAACTGAGGGCTGCTCTTCTCTGGGCCTCAATCGTCCCATCTTCCAAAAGGAGCCAGAAGAGGAAGGACCTTGACCTTTGGCTTTTAAAAAATATATATTTTTAAAATTGTTGATGGACCTTTATTTTATTTATTAATTTTTAAAAATTTATATGTGGTGCCAAGAATCGAACCCAGTGTCTCACACATGCTAGGCAAGCGCTCTACCACTGAGCCACAACCCCAGCTCTACCTTTGGATTTTTTAAGGATCTAGAATCAAGGGTCTGGTTGGAGATATTTAGAGCTGCATAACTTCCCCCAATTTATTTGCAATAAAGAAACAGATGGAATCCCAGTGCTCTTTGGAGTCTCAGAGTACCCCTACCCTCTCTGATTCCTGGGAGGTGCACTGGCCCAGTCCCTGAGGTAGGACAGAAGAATGGGGGAATGGACACCTAACAGATGAGGCAGGCCAAACTAGTTTCCTCATCTGTTGGTGACAAAAATACCTGGTACAGGTGTGAGGAGAAAACGGTGGCATGTACAAGTGCAAGGAGCATATGCCCAGGAAATGGAATCTGCATAAAATGAAGTGCAAGGAAATGTTTGTGACCCTGCTCGCCTCTTCCCATTTCTAAACTCCCCCACATGGACAAATACCTGTCCCACATTAGGCACGTGAAAGCTAAGAGAATGAGGATAGGGGTATCGTTCTGTGATTCTACAACCTAAAACTTTATGAAATTCTCCAGTTTTGAGTAAGTTAACAAAATACGGCTGGTAGGTTCCCTGGTTCTGTAAAGCCTCCATAATTCTGTGGTTGACTGAGGGAGGGAAAGGGCACTTCTGGGGCTTCTGTTTGTGGCAGCCACAGTCCTTGGTCCTTTACACATGTTACGACATTTGCTCTTCTCACAATCCTGTGGACAGAGAGATTTTCATCCCCATTTTCCAAGCTCGGAGAAGTGACTATGCCAAAGTCATACTGGTGATTGGCGATGAACCCAGGACTTTAACCCTTCCCTGTGAACTGAAAATTATTTATTTTCGTAGGAATCTCTTCGATTCCGTAAGGTTTGAACGCCCTCTTCCTAGGTGCCGGGATACCCGGAGGCCTGGTGAGGCCCGGTGAGGCCCAGGCATGGGCCGACCGAGGGCAGGAGACCAGCCGCTCAAACTGCGCAGGTGCACTTCGCCTTCAGCCGCCTTCACATCCGCGTTCTGGCTCGAACTCTTGGGGTGCCTGGCCCTATGTGGCCACAAGGTGGCGCTGCGGGCTGGGAGCCCTTGTGCTGCGCCAACGGGACCTCGCGACGCCGGTTGCTTAGGCTGTTCCTAGGCTACTCAAGGCAGGCAGGAGGAGAGGGCTGCAGAGTGCAAGGCGATGCCCCGTAAGGATGGAAGAGCCCGCAGTGTGATGGCGTGTGCCCCCACTCCTGCCGGGTTTTGCATCTGCGGAAGCTGCAGAAGCCCTTCCCTACTCTTTTCTACCTCCCCATGTGTTGTTTCTAACTTTAAGACCCTTGTGTTTTAAGGTTCTCCTTGAAGGACACCTGCGGCAACATGGCTTTGCGAGACCCAAACACAGTGGGTGAAAGCACCTGCATTTGAGTCTTCTCTAGTCCCAGAGAATGCAGGTGGTTCCAGGAGGATGGATCCCAAATGGACCTGCATGGGAACATCGGACTGTGGGGCCTGGGTTTCTGCCCATGCCTCTTTCATACAATATCTGCTGGGAATCAGCAACTATGGTTTGTAGGCCTCCCTAGGGAGACCTGATTGAAAAAGGCAAGCTCCCCACCGGCAGCATATCCATGGCCTGAATGTTCTAGACTCTGTGCATTGACCCCTTCATCCATGACCTCTTCCAAGCCTCCCTTGTCTGGTCCACTTGTTCTGTGCTGTATGGATCTTCTACAAGGGTCTCACCGCCCCCGAGCTTCACCTACAGCCCGGGGTCCTCTGTGTGTCCCCACCTTTCCCATCCTAGGAATGGAAGTCCTCCTAGGGCAGAGATTGAGGTGAAGTCATCTTGCAGTCTAGCACAGGGCCTGGCACAGACCAGGTATCAGCATAGCTTCTCACGGGTGACCATAGTGATAGACACTCCTGCAGACCAGCCGGTTGGAAGAAAGAACTTGGTGAGAGAGCAAATGCATCCTGATGAGCTGAAAGTGAGCCCCTGTCACAATAAGTGTGCAAATAGGAATTGGGGTACTGTGGCAACAGAAATGCCAAGGAAGGATAAACCATTGCATTTAGAAGGGAGAAGAGGGGACTTCAGGGAAAGCTTCTAAGGTGAGATACTAACAGGGTAGACTGGGTGGGAAGGAGGTTGAGGGGCACGGATGGGACAAAGGTAGAGATGGGCAAGGCTTGGTAAGCTCATAGCTTTGGCTGGACAGCTGATGGGTGGAGTGGGCAGTAGGAGGGAAGATGAAGGTGGGTGGGGTACAGGCTCCAGTGAAAGATCTAGTCCATCTGAGTGACTCTGTCTCTCATATCACCTCACTTCTCAAACTCTGGGAGATTACTGGGCCTTTCAGGGAAAATAAGCCCTCCAGGGCAGAGCCTAACTTGATTCATCCTTGTGGCCCCAGAGCCCAGCCCAGGGATTGTCAGTGGACATTGGCTGCATGATGAAAAGAACTCTTTAGTGTTTATTAAATCATGGACCAGTCAGGTGCTGGGTTGGGCTGGTGGGGGAAGCCAGAGTTCTTGCTGCCCTTGGGCATCTCTGAGACCAGCCCCAAGATGCTCACAGGGCCACTGATGGCTGACTTCCCCACAACCCTGCCAACAGGTGCCCAGGATAAAGTATTGCAAAAGTGAACAAACATTCTTCTTCTTTTACAAATGATGTTTCCATCCCCTGCCAGCAGTGGTGTGTATGTGTGGGTGTGGGTGTCTGTGAGAGTGACAGTCCATCAAAAAAGGCAACACTTTTATCAAATGAACACAAAGGGAAGAACCCAGGGCTGGGACACTGAGATGCTGCCCTAAGGGTGGAGTTTAAATGGCATAGGGAGACCCTGCCTCTTCCTGCTCTACTCCTGGGAGGGTGAGAGGAGCTTTTGGGTTCAGGCCCACGGGGACTGAATCCAGGAGCCCTGTTGGAGCTCATGGCCAGATGGGATTCCAGAATTGCACTGACAACTTGGGGGAAGCATCTAGAGGCAGGGTCTCAGGAGAATATGGACTTATTTCCAGTCTTGATACTGGGGCCCCCACCCCAGAGTGAGAAACTTGCAGGCCTGGGACTGGCATGCCCCAAGCTTCCAGAGGCTCTGAAGGGGGAACTGACTTTGCTCATGCCACATGAATGATCACTGGACCCAGAGTCCCACTTCTGAGGCCCTTACCTGTCTTGCTACTGCTGCTGCTGGGGATGAAGGGGAAATGGGACAGGCAACAGCAAGGGGAGCCCAGGAAGGAAAGATGAAAGGAAGACCTCACAAAGACAGGTAGGTGCAGAGGGCCTGGACTGGGCTTCAGTCCTGCCTCTGCCTGGACAGGGCTTCTCTAGGCCTCATTTTCTCATGGGTAGACTTGATTTTTCTCTCCAGTCCCTCCTATAATTAGGGTTCTACCCAAGATTCTATGAAAAGAAAAATGATAAGATGGGCCTTGTGAACCCAGACCAAAGAAGGGGTATAATATAACAGAAACTCCTGCCCCTGAGTGACCAGACTGTAGGCCCAAGGGGACACAGCCCAGTGGACCTGAGTCTCCTGCAGCAGTAGCTCCCACACATCCTCCTCCCATCATGGGTCAGGTCAGCCCAGGCAAGAGGGAAGGCACTTGGGGGACGAGTGTGGAGGACAGCAGAAAGGGACCAGAGTCTGGTTTGACATCCAAGTCCCTCTGCTCATGGTTTTGGGGAGAGGGTAAGAGAGTAATAGGGGCATTTTGTTCCCAGGTGCTATTCCCAGGAGCAAAGCCCCTCCTAGGCCACAGCTCTGCAGGGCATGGGCCTGCAGACTCCCCGCTGACACTGGCACATTAAAATATAAGTTACCTAGGACCTGAGCAAGCCCAGGGCAGCAGTCTGTCACATGGCCCCAGGCCATGCCATTTGTCACAAGATGTCTGGGCCCCTGGCAACATATTCCCGGGTGTCTCCACAGTGCAGTGCCACCTTGGGGCTGGAGCCAGGCTGCCGTGGGTAGGCGCCCTCCCGTACCAGGCGCCGACACTTCCTGTCCTGGCCCACGCTTACGCTCTGCAGAGCTGGGAGGTGGTGGAGCAGCACTTCTGGCAGAGGCACCAGGCCGGTGCCTGACAGGTCCAGTTCCTGCAGTGAGCCCAGGCCTGAGAACACCTCCGCTCCTGTCCACGTGAGCTTGGGGTTGCCTGACAGGTCCAGGACCTGCAGGCCCGGCAGCTCATGGAAGCTGTGGGGCGCCAGCTGGGGGAGACCCTGCAGGCTGGCTAGTGACAAGTGTGTAAGGCCTCCCAGCCCTGTGAAGGCATCTGGGCCAATGCTGGCTAGAGGGTTCCCATCTAGGCTCAGGTAGCGCAGGGGCAGGTCTCTGAGGCTAGGCACTGTGCGGAGCCGGTTCCAGGCCAGGTTCAGGCTCTGGATCGTGGGCACGGGCAGGCTGGCCCGAGCGGGGTGGGGGTGCAGGCGGTGGATGAGGTTGTGGGAGAGGTCCACGTGCAGTGCACGGCCCTGGCTGTGTGTGGTGAAGGCAGATATGGAGACCTCCCGGAGCCGGTTGTGGCTAAGGTTCACGTCACTCAGGGGGGAGCTGGTGAAGCTCTCAGCTGGCAGGGCTACCAGGCCATTGTGGCTGAGGTCAAGCGATTCCAGGTAGCGGAGGCGGGAGAAGGCAGTGGGTGAGATGCTGGTGAGCAGGTTGTGGCTGAGGTCCAGACCGGCCAGTGTAGTGTAGCCTGGCCCGGCCAGCACCGACTCGTTCACCATCTCCAGCCGGTTGGAGGACAGGTCCAGGTGAGCTGTGTCCAGAGGGATGGGCACGGGCATGATGTGGGGGCCCAGGCCACTGCAGTCCACTCGAGTCAGGCTGAAGCTGTCAAACAAGCCGAAGGTCTCCACCTCACACTGGCACCCAGGGAAGCATGGCCGTGTTGTCTGGGCTCCACTCACAGCCAGCAACAGCAGCAGAGGCACCAGCAGCGGCCACGGCATGGTGGGGGCTGGAGAGAGAGCCACAAGTGAGGGCTGGATGCGCCGACAGCTTTTACCCCACCTCAAAAGATATAAGCCAGTGTGTCTGGACACAGCTACACATTGTCACTGGTCCCCATCCTCCTAGAGTACTGTCCCAGAATACTCCTCATAATTCCTAGTCCTTGTTCCTCTCTGGCTTCAGTCTCCCATGTGAAGTGTAAGTGGTTAGGCCAGGTTGGTGGACTTTAAACTACAGGTGGCAGAACCCTTTCTTAAATAAGATCAGCAGAAGCAAGTGTGCCTGCTCTTGCTGGAGTTGGAGACCTGGAGCCTTCTAGGTCTGCTTGCCATGCCTGCCACAGAATTTAAGTAACACAGTTTGGAACTCACTGGACTTGATGATCTCCTAGCTGGCCTCTCCAGCTCTGAGGGGTGAGGGCCCATGGACTGCCTGGACTCCCTAGGGAGTGCTCATAGTGTTTGTACCATGTGATGGGTACTTTACAGCATTACCTCATTGAACCCTCACAATCACCCTGCAAGTGTTGTGGCACTAAATAAAGACACACAAAGCAGGGCCCCTGTGGCTGTTTGGCAGTGGCTGAGCCCTTACTGTGGCCTTCCAGACTAAGGATTTCCCTATAACAACTGCCCCCACCTCACCTACATCTTTGGCCTATTTTCCAGAGGCAATATCCTCCAGTCTAATGGGTGACACTGTTCCTAGACTCCTGCTTTAGGGATACCTGTCCCAAGATTTTTCCTCCTTCCCCTGATCCCTATTCCCAGCTGACATAGCTATTTTACCTCTCCTGCCCTTCTTTTAACCTTGGGCAGGCAGATGAGCTGGTTCCCCCATTATTACAGATGAAGAAACAGAGGTTCAATTAGCATAAAAAAAACAGGTTCAGAGAGGACAAAGGCCTTACCCCAAACTAGTACAAAGCAGGGCAGGATTAGAACCCAGACCTGCTCAATTCCAATTCTTGCATTCATATCTGCCTGGCAGGGGGATTAGTGGAGAGGCAGGGTGCAGGCAGGGCTTTTCTCATGGACATGCTACAAGTCAATTCCCCTCCCCAGACCTCAGTTTCCCTTGCTGTATAGTTGCAATAGCAGCTGCCACCTATGCCAGGCACTATGTATATCTCATCACATCTAAAGGTCACACACACCCATATAGGTCAAACTCAAGGCCTGTGTTCCTGCTCACAGGAGACCAGAGGGTGGAGGAGCAAGAGCTTCTAATACATAGTTGGTGCAGTCTGAGTCTACTCCTCCCCTGCACAAGGGCCACTCAGCTGGGGGACAGAAGGCTCTTCGTGTGTGGCCCTGCTGTACCCCTGCTTTCATGCCCTGTCTCCTTCTCACTGGTCACAGGGGAAGAGGGTGGGAGAGGGGCCAGGAGCGGGTGGACCAGAGACCTGCCCACCTTCTTGACTGGGGGCAGTGGAGGGAGCTGCTGGATAACATTACCAGCCCTGCATGAAACTTTAAAGCGGTAGCCACTTGATCTGCACTCTGGCTCTGCGCAGGGCTGGTGAGAAGTGGGGCCCTTCTCCTCTGCCCCCACCCCAAGGGCCCTGCCTCTCCCACCCCTTTCTTTTGTAGAGGCCAATTTGAGAATTAAACCCTGCCCAGGTGCATCCTGGGCTTGGTCCCAGCTGAGGCAGGACAGAGTGTTCCAATGTCTGAACCAAAAGGAAAATATTAAGTTGCTTCAGGCCCCCTTTGTTCCCCAGTGAGCTCCTCACCACAGAGTTCATTACCACCACAGGCCCTACCTCCCCTGCTAAGCCGATCTGCTCATACTCACCCTTCCTGGGGTTTAAACAAACATCACAAAGGGCCCCAAGATTACCCTTTGGTTCCCAGGGGTGATTATATGCTGTGTCCATGAAATGCCAAGTGGCTTCTCATGAGCGCCTGTTTATGTAATGGCAGCTCAAATGCAGCCCGGAAGCTGGCCCTTCAGGCCTCGGCCTTGTCCCTTGCACAATAGGACAGTAATTTCTTCTATGCCCTCCTCACATAAGTTAATTAACCCTCAATGAAGCACACTGCAAACTGTGAAGAGCTCTGCACATGCTCAGAGAGGCTTCCCCCTACCCCTGAACATCTGGACCTGAGCAAAGGTCATAATAGCTGGTGTAAGGGAATGGGAGTATAGATGGAGACCCCTGGATAATGACTGGTAAATGCTCCCAAGGCACTGGGACAGACCTTTGCTTAGCTCTGCCCAGTGAACCTCTCCCAGGGTCCCTGTTTAATGTTAAGGGTAGGCCCAGGACTGAGCATTCCCAGTGGAAGTGCCCACAGTGACAGAGCCAGTCCTCATTGAATGCTAGTACTTGACACACCTCCTCTGGTCGGATCATTATAGACACACAGCAAAGCCAGGAGTGTCATCTCCATTTACAGCAAAGGAAACTGAGGATTCACAGATTCACCTGCTAGCCTGTGTGACTCTGGGAAGTTGTGGGGGAGAAGAAATGGAGAGAACAGTCCCTGCCTCAAGGAGGTTCTATAAGGATTAAAGGTCCCAGGGGTGACAGGCCCAGCACACCAGGACAAAGACAGGTACAGTTATGGGGTGGTCTGTCTCTCACAGGCTACACACAATGGTGTCCCCTAGACAGGTAACCCAAAGACTATCCCAAGCTCCTTTACCATGTTCCAGGATGCTGACAGGGAGGAAACTGGGCAACTGTGCATGGTGGCAAGTCCCGGGGAGTAGTCAGGAGCCATAGGTCTTCATCCCCCCTCTGCCCTGGACAGCCCCCATCATTGATCAGGTCCTGCCCCTCTTTGAGCCTCAGTTTCTCCATCTGCACAATAAGGATTTAGTCTAGATGAACCAACTCCAGAGTTTTAGGAGTTTAAAATTTAACAAAAGTGCTTACTAAAGCTCTACTAAGCACAAAGCACTGGGCAGGGTCAGGTTGGGGTAGGGGGTGGAGAGGAAACCAGGGACCTGTTCTCTTGGGGCTTATAGACCAGCAGTGGGGACAGAGACCCACCAATAGCAAGCCTGAGACTCAGAAGACTTGGATCTGTGTGACCTTTGTAGCTCTATTTCTCTGAGCAATTTCTCGTCTGTATAGTAGTATTAACCTGGTCTCCTCCTAGGACCCGTGTTCCACCCTTGCAAGAAAGGAAAAGGCAGACCAGTGGCCACCAAATAAGGACAGGGAGAAGAGGGATCTCTGGGTCAAGATCATCTCCCCCACCAAAACCTGACCTGCCGAGGTAGGCCTGGTAGGGAGTGTGCACCAACACAGAGCTGGATGAACCAAGGACCCATCTACTGATCAACCAGGTTACATAACACACGGGTAGAAAGACAAGTGCTTAGAGATTACACTTGCCCCTGGCTTAGAAGATACCATGAAGTCATCCCTGACTGGGGCCATGAGTTTTTCACTGTTGGGCCATGGTGCCAAATCCACAGTCACTCTAAAGAAGGTTTGCTGAAGTCCTAGGACAATAAGAGTAAATGGTATGGCCCTAAGAGCCCCAGGGAATTCTCCCTGCATGGCACTCCAGGCCTTTTATAAGATGCTTCTCTAAAACAGCTTTGGCCCATCATGGCCCCCTTGGGGTGTTTTTAGCTATAGAGCTTGAATCCTCCCAGGCATGGAGGCCATCTGCAAATTGCGCCACCTTCTTCCTCCCTTGCCCAAGGTAGATTTGGACCTTCCTTGATAGCCAGAGTGGCAACAGCTGTCACCTTTATGGATTCTGAACAACTCTCAGTCTTTGTTCACTTTCCCAAGAATTCCATGGTCCCTTGGAGATCATGGGTGACTGAGGCCCAGTGAGGGGCAGCAACACCGAAGGAATGGCATGGCAGGACCCAGGAGCTGGGACGTGACAGATCATACTGCTGCAGGCATGGCACACATCCACACACCTGGCCCCACCAGCAGAACAAAGCCCACTCTGTCCACGCAGGCTGCAGGCCCCTCCCTCCTGGCCGCACACCACAGGCTACCAGTAGGCCTCCTTCAGAGGCTGCTGAGTGAGTTCTCTGCCATTCAGACTTGAAGTGTAAGCAGTAGGGGCAGATGCCAGCCTTCTTCATCTATGCATCCCTTCCCTCACCTTGGCAGCTCTGGTGGGGTATATGTACCAGCAGAGAGCTGGACGAGCCAAGAGCCCAGCAAGCAACAAGACCCAGACTCAGGTGGGAATCCAGCCTCGGCAAGTTTCAACCCTGCTGTGTCTCCGTGTCCTCGATGGAGATAAGAACAGAGGACTGTCAGAGGATTAAATGACAGCATGTGAAGCTGTTGCTCATTATCTGCCACATGGTGAATGCTCTATGTGAGTTAGATGGTGATGGAGATGATTTATGAAGCTTCCCACCCAGGATCCAGTGCAGTGCCAGGCACCCAGCAGGCCCATGGCTGCTTGTGCTGACTTCTCCAGTCACCTTGCTGGTGTCTGTTGGCAACACCGCAATCTTCCTTCTCCTTGAGGGCATCTCTTGGGTTCGGGGTTTGAGCCAGGCCTTCCTAGCCCTAGTTGCCTGCCCTTGGTGCCCCACTAAATCATCTCTGGCTGAAAAAATTTTCCAACTGCCCCCTAACATCTTCCAGGAAGCCCCTGGCACAAGGGGGCAAGAGGCCAAACTGCAGCCTGGCCCAGGTCCTAGCACCCACCAGAGATAGGCCTTGCCTTGACCAGCTGCTCCTCCCCTGGGTGGCCTCCCCACAACTCCCCTTGGTCATGAGCGATCTGACACTAACCAACCAATTCCATAGGTAGAAATTTCATGAGTGTCCCATTCTCTGACCACCGAGTCCGTTCTGGAAATGCAAGCCCAAACCTGGAGCCCCGAGGGCCAGCTCTCCCTGCAGAATTGCTAATGGTGTACGTCTGCACAGGCACGCCTGCTTGCCACGCTCCTTGCCTTGCTCTAGTTTCTGCCTCCCCACAATCCTGGAGATTGCTGCCACTATTCTTCAGGCAAGGAATGGGACCTCATTATGCTGGATATGGAGGAACCAGGACTCAAACCCAGACATCTTATCTCCAAATCCAGGTCTCCTTATGCCACTCTTCTCCACTTGAGTGAACAACAGCTTACAACTTATGGTGCAGGATGGTAATTACATGTTTACCGGTCTGTCCTCCTGTGGGCAGAGAGATTCACTTTTATGTCTCTGGAGCTGAGCACAGAGCAGGTACTATATAAAGACACAGCAGGCATCTAGAATATAATTCGGGCACCAAAGGTCACTGCTCAACCTTTCCTATGCTTCCTTATCTGTTCTGTCATTTTGTAAGGTCAGCAGGTTAGATGGCATTGCACTTATGGCTGTTTAAAGAGGCACAGAAAGGTTCAGTGAGTCATACAGCCAGTGCGGGGGGGATAAGAGCTGGACTCAGGACCCAGGTATTCTGATACCCAGCACCTGGCCTCCTCCATGACATCATCCCTGGTGTAGATGGGGTCTGAAAGCCTGGCATCCTTGCCCAAGGAGGACTGTGTACAGGGAGATGGGCAAGGCTCACAGTGCTGCTTTCTCTTTCCACTGTGTTCTTCCTCAAAGACTTTCATATTCCCATTAATCAGAGAGCATGTGTGGACACTGTGGGAAAGAGTATGGCACAGAGGAAAGGGGCTCTGAAGCCAGGCAGCTGGACTCCAACACTCTAGGGCTTACCTGCAGCAAGGCTTGTGGGTGCCCTCACCCAAATCTGAGTGTTCTCTGTACTGTGTGAGAAGCCTAGTACTGCTCCAGCGAGTCACTGTGATGATCAGTTCTGGGCTGGCACGGACGGGTTCTCACTGCATGTTGATTCCTGCCCCCTAATGGGTGACTGCAGGGACCAGGAAAGAGAAAGGAACTGTAACACCAAGAGATGCTGAGGCAGAGGATAGAGAAGAATCTAAAATTCATCCTCTGAGACCTTGGAGTCTCTCTCACTTCATCACCCAGAGCCTAACCAGGCTCTGCCGGAGAACTGATAAGGACTGATGGAAAGGTCTCAGAGGCCAAAGCAGGCTGAAGCAGTTGTGTTGTCTGTGACAGAATGAGGACTTGGTGTCAAACCAGAAGCCACCCCTAAGCAGGTGGGTCTGCTTCTCTTTCCTTCTTCCCCACCTTTCCCTGCCCAGGTAGGGCTCAGGGGCCTGCTGCAACAGGCTGGTGCCTGACCCCTGTTTCTAACTGCCAGTCATGCTGGGAGCCAGAGTGCACCACCCAACAGAGGACCAGGACACTATCATTACTCCCTGTTTAAACACCGGCTGGTTATGTGCTGAGCATGTGAGAAGCCCTAAATTCAATCCCCAGCACTGCAAAAAATAAAATAAAAATAAAACCCATTGTGTAAAGACAGCTTTCCAGGCTGGAGGTGAATCAGTCCCCAGGAACCCTGCCTCTGCACAGGCTGTTCCTTTTGACAAAGATGACAAAGGGATCCTTCTTTTGTCTACTGCAGATTCTCACTTGTTTGAGTCAAAATCTACTTCCTCTGTGGGGCCTTCCCAGTCTAATCTTCCCCTCATCACCAAAGGGTCACTCTCCCCCTGGGCTCCTGAGTTATCCCTAGTCTGTCTACAAATCTCTGTCCAGCTCCTCCCCTGCACAGGGCTTGGCTATGGGAAGTGGGTAAGCCAAATGAATGAATTGTCAGGGACAGAGAGTTTCTTTCTGCTTGGAGATACTTGCAGGATGCTTAGAGCTTTGTGAATGGTGAAATCAGGTTTAGGACCAGGGAAGATACGGTTTCTGTCTTCTATTGTCAGTGCAACCCAGCAAATGTCTGCACAATGTAATACATACTGCAAACCACTTCTCATCTTATTAGCATGTGTAATACATTGTCCTATTAACATTCACAACTGATCAGTAGAGCAGAAATGAGTATCCTCATCTGAAGGATGAGGAGACTGAGAATTGGATGGATAGGTGAGATTACTTGTCTCAAGTTACAGAGCCAGGAAGCAGGGGAGTAGGATAAAATCCAGGACCTTCTGACTCTAGGAGGCTGGAATACTTTGCCTCCAGATTGATCTTCCAGCCTCTAGTGCCACCCATAAGCCAGAGGAAAGTTTCTTAAAATTACCCATCCCACCCTATTGCACCTATTGAGACCTTCCAGCAGCTCTCCACTATCTACAGGTTCAATTCCCAGCTCATAATGATCCTCTGTGATTTGGCCCCTGCCTTCCCTCTTCCAGTCTCCAGTTCAACTCCAATTCCCCACCCCCTAGATCTTGTGTCAGTCTAAAACGCTGACCACCTTTGTGCTGTTTCTAGAACACATAGAGTTCTGCATATACTGTTCCTTTTGTGGGAGACCCTTCTTGCCTCCCCTGTCTATTGATGACTTCAAAAACCTGAGCAGAGTCACCAGTTCTATCAGGCCCCTCCCCAAAGTACTCCCATGAAAATGTCTTAGAACTTGCTTTGGCAGGAGACTTCTATGATGGGCTCAGCCCTCTTTAGGAGCACCCTCAGTGTACAGCCCAGCTGTGCCCTGTGAAAGGATGAGTGAACTCGTAAGTGTATCTCCCCTGTTTTGAACCAGAAGTTATGATTAAAAAAATATTGATCATTACTCTGTTCATCCCTAATCTGTCATTTAAAAGCTATGAGAATCCAGGCTCCCTGGCACATGCCTATAATCCCAGTAACTCAGGCGGCTTAGGCAAGGCCCTAAGCTACTTAGAAACCCTGTCTCAAAACAAAAACTCAAAAGGGCCGGGATGTAGCTCAGTGGTGAAGTGTCCCTGGGTTCAATCCTTAGTACTACTACTACTACTACTAATAATAATAATGAATAAATAAAATACAATGGGGAGAGCCGTGTCAATGCCTTCCTTTCCCTCCATTTTTGACTGATCAGCTTTTGCCTTTCAACAGGTGGAGACGGTAAGTGGAAGCCCTAGTTTGCATTCCAGTCTGGGAGCAAATCAGTGCCTGGGAATTGAGCAAGCCAGAATGGAGGTGTATTACACATCAAAATGTTTCCAGGTTCTGGGATCTCAAGCAGTCAACCAGAACAGCAAGGAGGGAAGAGGCTGTCCACACCTCTCCTCTCAGAAGGGAAACTAAAAGCCAGAGACAGAAAATAAAGTGACCACATTGCCTCCTTCTCAGTTTAGTATCTGTGCCCCTCCCTCTTGTTTGCAGCACTTAGGCAAAGTTCTTGGGTTAAAGACTGGGGTGGGGGATGGGGAGGAGGACGTTGGTGTTATCTTTGCCACCAGGGACCAAAAGATCGGCAGGGCTGAGCCTTTCCTCTCCGGTCAGTCACTGGGTTCAGCAAGTCTAGACTTATCCGAAGGGCACAGCGCGCGGCGAGGAAGGATGGAAGTTTGAGTCACCTCCTCGCCGGGCCAAGTGTGGGCGGGCTCTGCTCTCAGCCGGGTTTCTAGCAAGCACTGGTTAGCCCGACCGCACGCTTCGGTGGTGAGGGAGTTCTCACTCCATCCATAACAGGGTGATGGCGACAGCAAGGCTTAGCAACACGTCCGGTGTCCTAAAGTGGGCCACTGACTGTTGCGTTCGAAATCAGTGTGTGCAAGGTTCCCCCTGCCCGCAACCCAACAAGGGGTCCTGGAGCGGGCGCTGCGAGAAGGCCTGTATCCCCACAAGCCGTGGCCTTCTCACCTACCGAATCGGAAGGCTGGTCCCCTCACCCCGGGGGCGGGCTGCAAACTCAGAGCGGATCTCAAAGCGGAACCGGGCTGGAGCCGATCTCTCTGCCAAGCAGACAGGTCTCTGTCGGTCACACACGCTCTCCAAGAAGCACAGGGCAGGCAACGCCAGGAGCCTTCTCTCCTCTCTCCAGACTCAGGCCAGAGACCAGGACCAGCCGCTCCCCTCCCTCCTCCCAGCAGGGTCCGGTGCGGGTGTCCGGCAAGCTCCGCCCAGTCCTGGCCCCGGCCGGTCCCCAGGCGCTGTCGATCCCCTACCACTCACCAATCCTATCCCATCCTCTCGCGCGGCCCTAAGGACCTCAGGAGGTGAAAGAAGGGCGGGCTGCCAGAGATCTTCCACCCCCGGCTCAGGCCGGGCTGCGGCTGCGGGGTCCGGGGCGGTTTCCCTAGGAACCCGGAGAAAAGTTTGAAGCCAAGTCGGGGGGGGGGGGGCGGATGGACAGCAGGGGAACGAGGAGTCAGGGCGGCGTCCGGCTCTCAGCACGCACACACTCCACCGACACCCAACCCAGACACGTCGACAGCACAGACCACGTACGCGGACACACAACGGCGAGCCCACCGGCAGCCACCATCAACGCGAGTCCACAAAACGTGGGCACCGGCGCAAAATAGCTGTGCAGAGTCAGCGACACACAAAGGCACAGACGGATGCACGTCCCTGAAGCCAAATCCACAAAGTCCCACAACAGTGAGATGCACGTGTCCGCACAAAGACCCCACAGGGGACGGCCCACGCCCACGGCACCCGGGCAGCGCCTTTGTCTCCTGGAAGCCCTCACCCCCTGGTCCGGGTTCCCCACTGCCGCCGAGTCCCGGGCGCCCGGCAGCAGCTGCTGTCGCCCTGGCTCCAGGTAAAGTTGAGGGGCCTTGGCGGGACCCGGGCGCCGTCCGCCCCGGGATGGCTAAGAGCGGTCGGGGGCTGGACCTTCGCCCGCCGCGCCGACTCCGGCTCCACCTGACGACCCGCACCCACCTGGAAAGCTACGCAGCTGCCTCCTCAGCACGCTCACCTAGGCGGCCCTGCGCTGGCCCTCGGGCCGGCGCTTTTCTCCACGCCGCGCGGCCCGCCCCCAGTCCCCGCCCGCCGCGGGACTCCGGCTGCCCAGCGCCCAGTGGCGACTTCGGCCGGCGGCCCGGCGGCTCAGGGAGTGTCGCCAAATTGCCGGCCTTGCCCGGCGTGCTCCAGCCCCGCCTCTGCCGGAGCCCGGGTTCCATCCTAGGGAGCGTCTCAAAAGTGCGCAGCTCCCACCTACTCCAATCGGCATTGCTCCCTGCTTCCTGCATCCCGGATCCCTTCCCCCTCCTCCCGCGCGCCAGAGCAATCTCAGCAGATGGCTTCACGGTCGGGAACATCTGGAGGTCGCTGGATTGTGTGTGTGTGTGTGTGTGTGTGTGTGTGTGCGCGCGCGCGGAGAGAAGGAGAGAAGGAGAGAAAATTATTTGTTGGTAAGAAAGAGATTGGAAGAATGAGAGTTACCTCTCCTGGAATTCTCTGCCCGCTCCCCATTTCATTAAAAGAGTGAAAGGGATCCAGTGATGTTATTGAGAGACCAAGAATCTGAAGCAGAGAAAGACTTGCTGAAAGAGGAACCCACAGAGGGGACAGCCCGGGTTAGGCAGAAAAAGCTGGCAGACAAGGAGTGAGAAAGCCAGCAGACTTATTTTTCTCTTCTGGAGGGAACTATAGACTTCTGGCTGGATTTCTAGGAAGGGAATCTGCTATGTGACTAGGCAGCAGCTTAAGTCTGTCCCTCTGCAGCTCATCTTCTCCACCCCTCTGTATGCTAAAAAAGGGTAGGAAAGTAGCCAAATAACTTTTTAAAATAGGGCTTGCAGAAATTACCTGATGAATGCATTCCCTGGAAGGCTGAGCTGGGGGCAGGAATGAGGCTCCCAAGACTACACACCCAGATAATGCCAGCCCCCTTCCAGGGAAGGGAGGGCAGTTCCCAGGCACTTGACAGATCCAATGAGGGGGTGGAGGCAGGCTTTGGTTTTAGCCCAGGACCTCCCAGGAACTTTTTTCCCTCTTGGAGAGAGCCCCTGGGTGAAGATATTGAGCAATGTTCCCCCTACAGAGGCCCAGACTTGTTACACTCGCCTTTTTGCTCCTTCTTTCCTTATTATGTAAAAATCAAAACTAAAATAAACAACAAAAAAGAAATGTTGCTCGAGCTTGTGAGTTGTGTGTGTGTGTGTGTGTGTGTGTGTGTCTGCCTGCCTGGGGAAGAAAGGGAGGTCAAAGTCAAACTTGCTACTCAGAGAAGGAAGTGATCTTGTAGGTCCTCCCCCAGCACGTATAGTCTGAGGGGGTCTAGGGTACTCACCTGAATTGAGTGGGGTGACCCTGCCAATTAGGGAGGAGTAAGGAGAAGGTTGGGATCCTGGTCTCTTCTGTGTGGAGCTGGGAGAGACCCTTTCTCTTATCTGCCCATTGTCTTTCCTGGTTAGAATCTAGCCTCCAGAACTGGGACGCCCTCTCAGAGTCCTCATCAAACCTTCTGAAATGGTGCCAGAGGCTCCTTTATGGCCAGGGTCCTCCTTAGCAGTCTGGCTTAGTAGATAGTCTGGCTCAATACAAGGGTCTGCTGGAATTTAACTTTGCACCACCTGGGGCCCTTGAGGAGGAGTTGAACTGTCTTTTCCCCACCCCCCACCCAAAGACTCTGCTTGGATGGGAGAGAGACCTGAAATGAAAGTCCAGAAAGGTCCCGGCTTGGACAGACTTCAGGTTCCAGTCCTGCACTTAGCAGCTCTGGGTCACCTTAGGTAAGTCACATAACCACTGAAACAGTTTCTGCAATTGTAAAAGAGGTTGTGGTGAGGAGTAAACAAGTAACATAGGTAAAGCTTTAACCTGGCTCACAGGAAGCTTCATTGTGTGGTTGTAATTACTAAAATGTCTCCCAGAAGGGATTGGGGTGGAGGCTGAAAGTCTTGCAGGCGTGGGAGGGGAGGGACTGGGGGAATGATCCCTTGACTCTGACTTGTCCAGTGTCTGTGACTGCTGCCTCCTCTATCCTCATGGGGAGGTTCTTTTGGGAACCCGCTTGCCCTGGCCTGACTTTCACCCTCCCTTCCCTGGATGTGGAGTTGTGGAGTGAGTAGTACTCAACTTCCAGAAAACTTAGGGACACTAACTACCACTACACTTTCTTGGTAAGGGCTTCTCATTTAACATCAATGTGGTAAACAACTCTTCACTCCTTGCTGGTAGCTTGTCTTCCCTACCTGGAAGGTGGCCTCCAGGGAGAGTCTCCATCAGTTTACTTATCCCTCCCATTCCCGGGCCTCAGGTTAACCATCTCTCTGCCTTGAGGCTCTGCCCTCCTATCTGCTGTCCACACTGCTATAAGAGTGACCTTTCTAAACAGCAAATCTGCAAAATGGACCATGACACTTGTCTTTTAAAAGCTTACAATGGCAAAAGCCAAACAATTGTAGGCCTGTGGTCACCCCTATTCTATATCCCAAGCTCTAGTCATGTAGAAATAAAGGGAGGTGAAGGGACAGTAGTATCATGTATTCTTTAAATCTCTGTCCAATGCTTCCTTCCTCCAGAAAACCCTCTGGCAAAGTTGGTCCCTTCTTCTATTAAGTTTCCAGTCACTTTGTACCTAAGGACTGTCATTGTCACCATTCTTCCGCCTTCCCCTTTTGTGCTCATCTTGGCCACTGAGACATTCCAGTGACTGTGCTGGGTACTTTGGGGTTGAGGATACAACTCAGTGATGGTGATTGCCTGGCATATGTGAGGCCCTGGGTTTGCCCAGCACCTGAAAAAAAGTCATTATGTCATTTTTATGTCAACAATAACCATCCTAGAATAACAGTGGAGAGGCCCTGAAAGGGCAAGTAACCTGACTGAGGTTACTCAGCACATTCTCTGTAAAGTTAGAAGAGAGGACTCCATTGATCTTTCTACTACCTGCAATTTCCAGGAGGAGCAAAGTATGGTGTAGTAGAAAGCAGGTATAAATTGTCACTGTGTTTCTGGCTAACTGTGAACCTTGGGCAAGTCACTTTTCCCCCCTAGAACCTCAGTCTCCTTGGCTATAAAATGGAGATAAACCCTAATTTGAATAAGTTATACTCCATGTATATATAATATGTCAAAATATACTCTACAGTCATGTATATCTAAAAAGAAAAAAAGAAAAAAAAAATTTTTTAATGGAGATATACAAGAAGCCCTGCTTCCTAAGTATATTGGAAAGATCAAATGAGTTCATATGGATGCAAATGTGTTGGAAGCTGTAGGGTGTTGTGAGCTTTGAATAGAGGTACCTGCCCACTGTTGTGAGGCTGGGAAGGATTGTTTGAGGATCTTTTTTCTCTGTGACCAATGGAGGTTAAAAGCACCACTAATCCTTTGGCTGCTTTGCTCATTGTTTAACACTTTGAGAAAGATCCTTTTTCTCTCGCTTGTCAGAGCTATCAAGCCCTGACCAGAACACCCTCCAAACCCAATGCATCTCCCCAAACTTCTAGAATCTCTGTTTTTCTTGCTACGTTTCCTTCTGCTGTCAGAAGCTGGCAGGTCTAAAGTCAACAGAGCATCCGGACTACATGAGGAAAGAACAGAAAGGAGAGCATGGAGAAAAAGAACGTGTCTCCCACCCATCTGGGTTGGCATGTGGCATGTTATGTTTTTTAAAAGCCCCTCTGGTGATCTGACGTCATTATGAGGACTGGGGGACGTAGCAGAATGCCTTAGTGTTGGCAAAGTTCTTCCACAACACATTCTCATTTTTAAAACTCCGCATGAACTTCTTAGGTAGCTGAATATCACCTTCATTTTACAGACGTGGAAACAAATTCTGCAGTGACTCATCCTCGGTCACACAGCTGGGACTTCAAACTGGACCAGTGAGATAACTGCAGCCATTCAGCTGCGGGGCAGGATTCTGTGCGCAGGCCTTTGCTGGTGTCTCAGCAGTCACTACATGAACGTTCCTCCCCTCCTGCCAAATCTAATGTGTCCCTAAATATTTCTCTCCCACTCTCCCACCCCCGTGCTTTTTCCCCTGCTGGGAAT